AGTCAAAATACACCCCACAGGAATAAAGGAAATAAGTCAGATTTTTAAGAGTAGGGTTCTAAGTACTTTTCATTCTGTCTTTATTCATCAAATATTTATTGGATACTGTAACTGTGTTCTTGAAACATATATGTGCATAAGAATTACTTGGGAGGTCTCCATGCTTCAGAGAAACTGATTCAGCAATTCAAGGATGGGGCCTGGGGATCTACATTTAACCAGCTTCAATGGGTGACTCTGATGCAAGCCTCTACAGGCTGCTTTGTAAAAGTTTAACTTGGTCACCAAAATGAATAAGCAATAGTTCCCTGCTGTCAGGAGCCTGCAAGTCTAGAGAAAGGCAGACACACTCTTGTGATATGATGTGATTAACGCAATCATAGAAGTCCTGGTGGTGACAAAAGGGAGAAGGATACCCTCTCCAGGGGACTGTGGTCTTGAGGGACGTTGCCAAAGGAGATGGAGGAAGGGTATTCTAGGGAAGGGAATGGCCCTCATGAGGCCGTAATCATGAGAATACATGAAATGTTAGGGAAGGGTGAGCAGTTACAAGCTACGGGAAAGTACAGGGTTCTCCAGGGCTGAACAAGCAGGAGAGAATCTTAGACAACATGGATCTCCATTCACCAACTAAGTAATTTCAACTTTACTTTGGTAAAGTAAAGTTGGTGGAAGTTTTTAAGCAGTGACATGAAGAGATTTTAAATTTGTCTGTAAAAATATCTAATATTGTGTGCTGTCCATTCAATAAATATCTCCTGAGGATGTGCCCTATGCCCAACAGTGTACTAACTACTAGAGGTTAGAAGACTACTGCACTTAGGAATTGCTGTGATAGTCTAAGCAAGCAATGAAAGTCAAATCTAAGGTGGTCCAAGTGTACAGAGGTAACTGAATTGATCCACAAGATTTGAGATTTAAAAAGAAAATTAGCAGGATTTGGTGATAGGTTAAATTTAAAAAGCGAATAAAAGATGTGCAGTGTTTGGAGGCAGAGAGACTTGTATGGACTGAATGTTTGTGGCCCCCCAAATTCATATGTTGAAGCCTAATCCCTAATTTGAGGGTATTAGGAGGTGGGCAGTCTTTGGGAGTAATTAGGTCATGAGGATAGAGTCTTAACAAATGTGATTAGTGCCCTTAATGGGAGAGACACAAGAGAGATGATCTCTCTCCCCTGTGTGTGAGGACACAGCAAGAAGGTGGCCATCTGCAAACCAGAAGCAGGGCCCTCACCAGAACCTGACTGTGCTGGCATCCTAATCTTGGACTTCCAGCCTCCAGAACTCTGAGAAATAAATGTCTGTTGTTTAAGCCACCCGGTCTAGGGTATTTTATTAAAGCAGCTAGAACTAAGACAGAGACGAAGTGTATGATAATGACATTAATGGAGAGTGCAGGGGGCAAAAGACCTAAAGGGGAGCAAATGAGCCCATCCAGAGAGTGCATCAGGGCAAACACATGTGCGGCCTGACGGTGACACCTGGGTAGCAATCAGTGCACAGTGTGATGAATCATGCAGGAAGTGACCAATGTTGAGCGGGGGTCCCCCAAAGAAAGAAGAAAAAGGGATCTTAGAGGGAAGAAGTAATCAGTCATTTTAAATGCCACAGAGGGAAAGACTTTGTACTGAGTATTGGTTTCATCATCTAGGATGCCACGGGCAACATTAATGGTGCAGAGCTAGGGGCTGTGGTGCAGCCAGACATTGGCATGGCAGGGATGTAATGAGGAAGGAGGGAGTAGCAGGGGTGCCATAGAGGCACAGAATGTAGACTGCTCTTGCAGGGAAGTTGAGCATGAGAGGAAGAAGAGAGAAGAGAGGCAAAGAAGAAGGGCGGGCAGAACCAACGCCTGTTCCCGAACACGTGGGCCCAAGGCTTTTGCTTATATTGTAGGAAAAGTTGTGGTCAAAGCAGAGGAGGCATAAGTTGGATTTCCTTTGTAAGCTTCTATTGTCTAAGAGTAGAAGAATTATAGAAAGACTAAAGGGGAAAAAAAAACAGTGTTGGGGCTTTCAGTACTGGGAATCGGCAAAAAATATTTCTAAATCTTTAAAGTAGGAGCTCCCCATTGGGATTGTGAAATGGAGGCTGCTCTGAGAGTCAGAGGGAGGAAAACCTTCTAGAAAGGTGAAGATGAAGGACCAGCCATGGTACAGGAGTAAGTGGCTATAAATGATCACAGCCCTGGGAGGCCCCCCTGGGGCCTGGGTCATTGTCAGCAGCTGCAAAAGTACCCCAGGAGAGGCATGATTTGACTTGATTTTTTGGCTAAGAGATTGTGTAGGAAAAGGGGGAATTCCAGGAAATCACTTGGTCAAATGAGTAATGGACCTTTGGTGTTTGATCTGGGAATCTCTCCTCAGAGGCAAACCAGTTGCATGTAAATCCACAATTTTGTGTATTTAGAAAACAAACAGGCAAGTCAGATAAACTGAGGAGGCTAATCTCTTTGATCACTGGAAGCAGCAACATAGTTTTATTTTTTACATTCTCATGAGTAAGATGTTGTTTTCAAATTGCTGTTTCACGTGAAACCAGAAGAGCAGTTGATACAGTTCCCTCAGAAACCAGGAGCAACCTAGTGGTTTCGGTCTCATGTTCTCTTTGTGTGCACGGCACGCTCCAGGGTGAGACTGCACACCCGCACAACTGCAAATTGACAGTGGTTACGTCTGTTTATATAAATGCTTCGGAAATGTCCCGGCAGAATACACCCCAAACAGACAGCAGAGGTTTACTGTCTGCTGTAAAAGCAGGGGAGAGAACTGAAATTAGGACTGATGGTCAAATGGCACTTCAGTTTCACCTGCTTGTTAGTTTTTAAAAAAATATAAATGCATGATTTATACGTTTTAAAAAGTAATTCTAAAAATTTTGGAAAAATCTACACAAAAAAGATTTTCTCAGTTATTCTGTGGGGCAGTCAAAGATGGTTATCACCCAGTTGGAGGAACAGCGGGGGTGAACAGCATATTAGTAATGGAGAAATCTGCTTGGGGCTTGCCAGATGCCTAAATGCAATGAACCCTTCCAATAAATCAAAATCTTTTAAATTTGCCATTAGTTCTTTCTTCCTTTTGCTCTTCTAGGAGCCCATGTTTCTTCCCAGCTGTTCCCTGATCTAGAAGGGTTTCATATTTTCAAGTGGCAGTTACCTCCTAGTGATAAATATCAAGCATGGTAGCTATTAGCATTATTATTAATCAAGTGGTAATGCTTGAAGCTATAATTCAAAGGATTAAGGAAGGAGCAGGGAATGAGGAACAGGATGCACAGAAGTACAAATTTCTGCAGAGACCATGGAGGATGCTAAAAGAACCTACATCAGCAGCGCGTGCCCTGGGCGTGGCATAGATGAGGGCTGGGCTCGGAGCTCCCAGAGAGGGAGAAGAGTCTGGGAGGAAGGCTCGATAGATGGTTAGAAGGAGATGAATAAGAAGATTCCTGAGCAGCAGAAGGGCCTCAAGCAAAAGTTAAGATTATTGGGGGAGAACTGGCAATGAAATAAAATGGGCTTTGCTAACTCCCCAACGAATCTGAGTAGCTCTGGAGTTGAGAGAAAGTAGATGGAGTTTCCACCATGGGCTGGAAATGGGTGACACCTAGAAGAACAAGAAGAAGGAAATTAGCATAAACACATTGCTGAAATAGCTGGTCATGGGGTGCTGGCAAAGTAAGAGTGCTAGACGCCAAGGACTTGGCCGAGGTATTGGGAGAATAGCAAAGACAGAAGGCAAAGATGTACCGTTATGAGAGAGAGATAAGGAGGGTAGCAAATGGCGAGAGAGCAGCAGAGGAAGGTAGGTAAGGTTCATTGTGCTGTGATTTCTCTCAGGGAAGAGCTGACGCTCATTTAGTTTTTATTCATGATAACACTTGTTCAATAAATTATTTTAATACCATAAGTGAATGAATTAATGGGAACAGTTATCTCACTAAATATGTCCCTGCTAGGCTATGAGATTTTTGAAGGCAGGCCCTGTGTCTTGCAGACTGATGTATCAAAGACGCCCAGGAAAGCCCAAGGGAGTTGGCAGGTACACTGGGTATTGAATGGACAAACATGGGCTCCTAGAAGGGCAAAAGGAAGAACTAAGGACAAACGATCTTTCTGAGCTCTGATTTCTTTATCTAAAAATGAAAACCACAAGATGACTCCCACTCCTGAACAGGGGTGAGACGTCCATTCTAACACTAGACATCCTAGCCCTCAAACCTTGCCAAACCAACTCTTGGGCATATTCATTTAAATCCCTCAGTGGGCAGCTGATTCCTTATGCACTTTCACTCGTAGAGGGAAATGAATCAAGCAAGTGGAATCATACATACACACAGAAACACAACCTGGCCCTAGATTGTTTTAAACTTTTTTAAATCTCAAATTCTCCTCACTTCTCCATCCCCCGCCCCACAGCTGCCACTCCTACAGCAGTCTTCCTTAGACCAAACGTCCATGACAAATTCAAAACAGTTGCCTGGGGTTTGGCTACTGCTTAACAGGTAGTTATAAACCCTTCCATGGTGCTAACTAGATGGCATGAAGAAGCTAATTAAAGCAATCAAGAAGACTGTTTAAATAAAGCCGAAAATGTAAACAAGGTCTGCATTGCAGAGAGTAATTAGAAATTACAGTTGTTTGTTTTTTGTCAGAACCATCTGTGGTTTGTCAAAATTTTGACATGTGGCATAACCTGCCACTAATCAAAAAGAAGAAAACAAACCAAAAAGAAGAAGAAGAAGAAAAAAATCTAAGAAGCTAAGTAGGAAAACAGACGTACAAAACCTCCGTCTTTCCAACTGGGAAAAATATTTAACTTGTTTTTCTGAAACAAGTATGATCTGGTTTTGGACAAAGGCTGAGTTGCTTAGTTTGCCTTGACAGATACACCTTTTCTTCCTTCTACAGAACTCAACAGTGGGGGCCCGGGCAGCTCAGAGTGGGAAAAGAGGCCATTAGGCTGAAGATGAAAGAACAGAGTGAAGTCACCAAATTCAAGTACTTTATTTCAAAGAAGCCCTACCTTAGCTTTTGCATTATATCTAGAGTTTCATTGATTTATGGAGATAACTCAATGGCATTAATCTTCGAGTTAGTATATATAACTGTAAATTATTTTTTCTAAAATGTACACATTTAAATTTATACTGCTTAAACATCTAATGAAGAAATAATGATATAGTCTAATGGAGGTAATATAGTATGATAGAGGAACATTTGAAAAATAAATATAAGTTGTTTATACTTCTCTACTTCTGTTGATTTATTATGAATACTCTGCACTATAAGATAAAAACTTGGGAATAAGATATTTGGAACAGTTCTTGATCTGGAATAGTTCCTGATAATATAGCATATATTCAAGAATTAGTTTTATGGAGAGGAAAGAAGAAAGAAAAAAGAGTACCTTGATGGCATTTTTGCCATGAATATTGCTAGTTACACTTACAGATACAATATAGGCATGACAGTTAATGTAGATGTCCTTTGTTATTGATGTATTTCTAAGTCCCAATTGCACAAGGCATTGAACTGACTTTCTTTGTTTAAATATGGCATCTACTTATGGCAAGTGTTCCTTAATAGTTATGATTTGAAACTCAGTGACATAGATGTGAATTTCAGAGAAGTGTTACAGGAAATTAAAACAAAACAACAACAAAACACAGGTTGCAAAAGTGAAATATACAACATGAGCAGAGCATACAGACACAAAGGGAGGGCCAAGGCCAGCCCCCGCCCAGTCCTGGTGACTAGCAGGCAGGAGCAGAAGCAGCTGGTGTGCCGGGTTCATTTGCAGAGTATCAGTTATTGAAGCATTTCCTCCTCTGCTTAACGCTTGTTGTCCCCCAGTCATTCCCTAGACACCAGCAAGGGGTTGGAAGCTGGGTAAAAAAGGAAAAAAAGCAAAAGCCCGGGCTTACAATAATACAATTTGACACGAGTAATAATAGCAAACATTCAAATAGTTCTTTATTTATTTGTGCCAGGCACTCTCTGAGTGCTTTACTATACTGTCATTCAATTCTCACAACAGTCCTTTGATTATTCCCATTCTACAGATAAAGAAGTTGAGGCACAGAAAGATCAAAAGTGTTTAGAGGGTGGCACCAGCATGCAAACCAGAGTGCCTAACCTCGGACCATATCCACTTGTCTGCTACTCAAAAGCATAGCTAGAAGAAGACAAGGGACTTTGAAATTCTCCTCCACATACTCAAATCTAGGCTTCATAACACATTAGAAATAGGAATTCTCCATTTGGGTAACCTATCCCCTAGCAGGTTGCCCATCAGAGGCTCATTAAATACTTGTCAAATGAAAGGGTGTTTCATCGCAATTTTATAGTGGAACTCTAGAAAATATTAAGCCCATAAAGCCACAAAACCCTACCTTGATTAGCCTCAAGATAGCCTAACTTTTGCCCTCAATGCTGCCAAAAAAGGAGCTTTTACCACCTAGAAAGTATGCTACACAGAATTTCATTGCAATAATAAGGATCGCCTATCCTTCCCCAAATAGCAAATGGTGCAAACTGGAACTAGATCTCTTACCTGCCCCTAAACTACAGATCGTCCACGGGGTATGCAAAGGTCTGGAAGAAAAAAAAAAAAAAAAAAAAGAAGAGGCACAGAGAGGAAATGAAGTGAGACAACATCACCGCACAGCAACCGGAAGGAAAAACACACATACACGCGCCCCTGACAGTCTACGTGTGTGGTTGCTCAGTGGGGAAATGCTCACAGCTGCCTTTAGAAGCAAGCCTGGGGGCTGCAAGGGAGACGCCTAACCATGCAGGACTGAGCTGCCACCTCCTGCCCGCCTGCCCGGGGAGAGGCAAGGACGCCGGGACACCGGGTGATCCTCCTGCAGCGGGTCTGCCCAGGGTGAGTTCCCGGACACACGGCGGGGAGACTCACGCAGACGCTGACTTCCTGAGGGGGTGGCAGACATCTGGTGGTGTTCCCCATGGTTAACACCCCTGAATTGGAATTGGGCAGGACTCAATGTACCCCAAAGGAGGAAAGAGTGACTCCAGGTCTCCTGCAAGCCGGCCTGCAGGCACTGGCTTTAATGTGACTTTCAACCAACATGGTTCTATTCTTTAACCCACCCTGGGCAGGTACTTCCTGGCGAAGTGCAGGGCTCCTCCCCCTGCGTGCCGTCCTCCGAGAGCTTACCTGTGACCTTCTTGAGCTTTTGTTTTTCCTAAATTACTTAAGGATTGCAAAGCGTGAGCTGTCACTTATACCTGATGGTGGATTCCAGTCATTTATGTCCTTTTCAGCCACTCTGGTTGACAGTTGAATTCAGGGTGTGCCTGGCTCACAGACAACTGCTCACTAGCATCATCTCTAAGGGGCTGGAGGCAAAGCATCCTGGGTTCTGCCTCCCCACAACAATGAAAGCTCCGTCCTTGCTTTTCTCTATATGTATTAATTGGTATAATGTGTTCATTCATTCAATTTCATTTCTTCCACAAAGCATGTGAGGCAACTTTTTTAGCTTGCTGATACTATTTCAAAATGAAGAACACATACAGCTTTACAGGGGACGGCCATTCTAACAGGGCTACGTGCTGACTACAGTGGTGTGGAGACTGGGCTAGTAAGGAGAGGGCAGAGTGGGTGCTTCCGTCGGTTCAACCTCCCCGCCGTAAGTCGGTTTCCCACCAGAAGTGGGTGTGAAGAGCAATTGTCTGTGACAGAATGCTGGGGACCAGCCAAGCTGTTTTCCTCCCTGTTTCTGTTTCCTCCCAAGTTTATTTATTTTCCAGGACGTTCCTGTCCTGAGAATGGAGTAAAGTGGAGTGGAGGAAAGGGAAGCACATGAACGAGTTTGGAGTTAGAGCTCCGCCATTTCTCATTACTGAGTTAATTAATCTATTTAACAGCTATCTAGTGAGTATTCATTGCAGGGCAGCAATTTTTAAACCCAAACTTACATAAGATGGAGCAAAACTGACATTGCTCTGCCACCAAAAAGCTCACAGACCAGGGAGAGGCAGATGTTAATTAATACAGACACAAATGTGATAAAGGCCAGAACATCCTGGGGGAGATCCTGATCTTGCCTGGGAGAGAGGGAGGTTCCCACAGGAAGGTGGTGATGACAAGTGAAAATACATATTTCACAGGGGTAAGAGATGGCCGGTGCTCCAGGCAGAGCTTATGCCATGACCTGAGGTGGGAGACACAGAATTATTAGGCAAAATTAGGCCCAGTGTGGCCAGAAAAGAGAGAGTGGCTCAAGATGAGCCCAAAGAATGAAAGATGCTGCTGATTCTAAAAGTGGTGAAGAAGCAAGGGATTTTGTGGTCTGGTGGGCCTTTTTAAGGAATTCCTTTTGATACGGTGTGGAGAATGGACGAGAGAGGCCAAGCCTATGGCCAGGGAGAACAGTCAGACAGTTGAAGCAAGAATATTATGGGAGTACAGACAAGACAAGGGGGTGGCAGTGGAGACAGAATTAAACAGAGACACATGTTGAAAGGAAAATCAACAGGACTTTGGTGTGGAGAGCAAGGGAGGGGTTTCAAAGGTAATCCTTCTCCTGGTTTGGGCATCCATGCAGGTCTGTTGCTACCTGCTGGTCAGTGACTGGATTAGTTCAGTTCTGCAACTGATGACTTTGGAGGGCCTAGCCGACACCCAAAGGCAGATGTCAGCCAGGCAGCGGATGTTGACCAACATCTAGAGCTCGAGCAGAGGTCCAGGGATCACTGGCGCAGAGATGGTAGTTGAAGTCATGGGAATGGATGATACGTATTCAAGGGAGAGTATCAGTGAGGGAAGAGGAGGGCCATTTAGGATTGAACCTTAACAAGTTCTAACATTTAAATAGTAGTTTAGAAGAATAAGCTCTCCAAGAAGACTAGGATAGTTTCTTGAGGAGTTAAACAGAATTACCATATGACCTAATGATTCCACTCCTAGTTTTAGATCCAAAAGAATTGAAAACAAGGACTCAAGTAAGTACACATACATAAATTTTCATAGCAGTACTATTCACATTAGCCAAAAAATAGAAACAGCTTAAATGTCCATCAAGAGATGAACTGATAAACAGTGGTATATCCATACACTGGAATATTATTCAGTCACAATAAGAGTGAAGTATTGATACAATGTGGATAAGTCTCAAAAATATTGTGCTGAGTGAAAGAAGACAGGCACAGAAAGTATGTGATTCCATTTATATAAAACATCCAGAAGATAAAATCCATATACAGAATGCAGGTTGGTGGTTTCCAGGAGCTGGCAGATGCGGCATCAAATCACATTGAATCACTAGACTTTGTCGTAGAGAGGAAACTTACCCATTTTCACTTCTCTGATCCTCTGATTTCGGCTCTCCTAAATGCTCCAACAGTGGCCACTGACCTTTTTAACAAAGAGAAAGTGGACCTTGGGCTACGAGCCATCAGCAGGCAGAGGTAGCTAGCTGAAATTTAATACTGTGGTTTTGTTCTCCTGAATTTATTTTTCATGATTACCTTCTGTTAAACTACAATGGCACTGGCTTTTTATTTGCAGGAGTGGTATAAACATTTATGTATGTATAAATATCTTCAAAGTTTTTTTTAAGGGAGTCAATTTAAAGAAAAATCATGGTACCAACTGTACTGTCCACACACCAAATTGGCAAACACTGGAAGGTGAGACTTGAATGGGAGAAGACTGGCAAGGATGCTCATGGGCATGGCTGTGCCTCATTCTACCCAGCTCCTGCTCAGTGGGTGCCACACTGGGATAGCATGGATGTCCTAGGCAGGGGCTGTCCAAACCAGCCTTGTTTGCTGCAGGCTTTTTTGATCACCCAGATAAACAGTGTGCCCACAGTGGCTCCCAAGTACCGAGGCAGTGATGATAGAGACTTGAAATGGACACATCACAAGGCTCCAGGGTATGGGAGCTGCACTACAGGTGTTTAGAAGGAACTCAGCAATGGTGAAATGAGGTGACAGGTGGAGGCATCAGTGTGTCCGCATTCCTTTTCCCATTCACTTCAGAGCAGAAGCCTCAGTTAACAGAGGTCTATGACAATTAAGTTTATATTTAATTTCTACAAGCAGCTGTTCTTCCCCAAAGCCGCTCCTCCAATTTCCAAGAAAGGTGATAAATGAGAATTAAGGTAGATGTCACCTTAGAAAAATTTTTAAGTATTACGAAACATTTCATACTGCAAAGAGGAATATATAATGTATACATACATTCTAAATAATAATAGACATAATAAAACAAATACATGTTTACCTACTTACCCCCTTGCCAACTCTGGAAGCCTATTGCATTCCCTTTACCAACTGCATCCATCTCCATTCATGGCCCCAACAAAGGGAACTACTGTCTTAAAGTTTGGGTTAATCACATCCCTTTACTTCTTTTTTAAGGTTGGCCTCATATCTATATGTATACATAAATGCAATTTAGATGCAGGTCTATTTACATGTAAATTAGTATATATGATTTATGTGTATATGCTGTTTATTTTTGCCTGTTTTGGGAATTTTGAACAAATGTAATCATACCATATGCATTCTGTAACTGGCTCTTTGGACCAACATTGTTTTTGAGGGTTATCCATGTGCAGCAAATAGGTGTTGATTCATTTTCATGTCTGTATAACATTCCATTGTGCAAGCATGTGACATTCTATTTATCATGTCTGTCAATCGACCATGCTGGGTAATTGCCAAAGATGAAGGGTCAGAGAGTAATTCCAGGAAGGCACAACATCTCCCCAGTTGTGCCGTCTCTCAGGCAGAAACACTAGCAGCAGAGGCTTGGAGCTTCACCTCATGTCAGAAACAGGTTTTAACTGGGGATGAGAGGTGAGCGAATCAGGGACCTGAGACCCGGAAGGAAAAGGACATGAAAGGACGAAAGGGGCCTTATAGGGAAGGAAGGAAAGGATAAAAACGACTACCAAAGATTTTTAAAAAACTCCCGGCTGGAGAACTGTGCTGATCATGGGTGCATTCAGGAAGGCTGTTGCTCTCAGAGTCCACTTCCCTACCGCAGAAACCCGTGCTGGAAGCATCCACATAAATAGCTACTCCACAAAGCATCCTCCCCCAGATCAGCAAGCGGGCGCCGTGAGTGCTGATGGCTTCGCTAGACCCTGAGGAGGACCACGTGCCCTACGGTGCTTCCCTGGAGGCTCCCCACTGGTGCAGCTGCTGATTCATCTAGTGCCTTGCAGCTACGGGGCGAGTTAGCCATCGTGCAGCTATCAGCTGGTACGCTGCCTGGGAACCTTTCATAACCTGATGGCTAGTTTCCATGACTGAAATTCCCCACCCACAGCTTCACTCGTAAAGAGTGGAAATATTTAGGGGAAGTGATACTAGCAGCAGCTCCGTGGCACCATGGGAAGAATTTTGCCCTAAAACACAGTAGTAAGCCTGTGCCTCACAGAACATTACCACAACAGAGCCCTAGTAAGGCCCGTGTTCTCTTAGCACCTGTTTCTCTAGACAGAAAATGGGCAGGTGCTTTTTATCGCAAGAGAAACAAAACGCTGAGATGATACTCTCTTTCCCCCAACCAGAGTGGAAGAGTTGAGGTCCACAGCTCCTGTTAGGGTTTGTGTCACTGGTCTGGCTTTGGTTCCTGTGGGGCCCTGGTGGGGGAGAACGATTCTTGCTAAATGACATATATTGACTGATTCATTGAGAGAGTAAGTGACTAAGGGATACTGTATTATTCAGGGTTCTTCAGAGAAACAGAAGCAATAGGATGTGAGTACATATGTTTACATATAAAGAGAGATTCATTTTAAGGAATTGGCTCATGTATTTATGGAAGCTGGCAAGTTCAAAATCTGCAGAGTAGGCTGGAGGCTCGAGGCCTGGTGAAGAGCTGATGTAACTGGGCGTGAAGTCAGTACGCTGGCAGAGTTTTTGTTCAGAAGACATCAGTGTTTTTCTCTTAAGGGCTTCAATTTATTAACTGAGGCCCATCCATGTTACAGAGGGTTAACTGCATTGCTCTATCTACTGATTTAAATGTTAATTTTACCTAAAAAAATTAACTTCGTCTCAGATACCATGTCTGATTTCAGAAAATAAGTTAGTAGTTGTTTGTTCAACATTTGTTGAAGGCCCTTTGGGCTCACATTGTGCTCAGGTATCAAGGATTCAGTAGTGAGCCCAAGAAGATAAAGTCCCC